GGGGAAAATAATTGACTCTGCTAATTTTACCCTTGGCAATTATAAAACAGCTCTGCATTTCATTATGACTGCAAATTTTCACATTTGATTATCTGGCTTGATAGAAATACAGAGATAAACGCATCATACAAAATCTCAGACAATTGCCCATAACACCATGATAGAATTAGTTTGGGACTGACAGTACAAAACAATAATAGAAATATTGGATGTAAAATATATTGCATATCACAACTGTAATCACTGAAACAAACATGTTCTTCCTCAATCACTGTGGTCTCTCATGACCAGTACACTTTGTAATGTGTCACACACAATTATTTGTTTCACTGCACTTGTTAGCACATCCTAATATATAATACTGGTCACTAGCTGGCTTCCCATGAATCTGCCTTGGAAGATGGTCCTACATGCTAGGAATGCAAGAAATTAAAAGCTCTCCACAGAGTCTGGGGTATAATAATAGCACTCTGTGGAGCAACCTGCAGGCCACACATGACCCTTGGCCACTCTCTGTACAGCCTGCCAAGTCCCAGGGAGTTCTGCCCATCTTTCCCTGCAGCTCAACTGATGAAGCCATCAGCTGGGCAGCTGGGAAAAGACTGATGCCAGCTATGCAGCTCAGCAGCACAGAAACAGCCATCTTGTCCATGCTGGGTTACAGGTTTCCTTCCAGCCCCCATGCTGAATCCAAGGGCTTGTAAGAGGAAGAAATAGCAGCAGCAGCAGCAGCAGCAGCAGCAGCAGCAGCAGCAGCAGCAGCAGCTCCACCTGCTTTCCAACTTGAGGCAGACGTTCTTCATGGATTACATATCAGAAATGGAAAGGCAAAGTGGAGAGATGTCAAGTGTTGTGTACCTTCCAATTCATGGCCATCTGAAAATTTTAGGTGGTTTGAGAGTTAGCCCCACCTGGCTTTGAAATCATAGCAATTGGCTCCATTATTAGGCAAAATACTTACTGGCTTACATGGACCATTACAACACATGTCTACTCAGAAGTAAAACTCCACTAGGTCCAATGGGAAATACAGGATTACTGAATTAGTGTTGCCCAGAAGGGTTTATATGGCCTTACCCTGCCATGTATCATCAAATGCAACAATAGTTAGTAAATGAGTTGAAATCACATTTCACAAAGTGGTGGGTGAGGAGATGGGGGAGGACTTCATGGCTTTATACACTTCATGCAAAATACACAAGTCTAAAAAAACTCATATTTCAAAATAATACTAAGTCAAGTCAGTGTAAGTGTCAAGAATTTTTACAGCTTATAGTCCAACTGTTCATGCTTTTTAAGATGCAAGAAAGAATGAGTTGATAAATAAATTGCCTGTATTCCACTTATGGTATATAGAAGGTATTAAAGTATTAAGGTGTCAAAAGTGGGAGAAAGTGTTAACATGTTTTGGCAGAACTTTCAGACATGCCGCTTAATTGCTTGAGAATACAAGCAGTTTTTAGGCTACTGTGCTTCAATTTACTACAGATCTGATTCAAGGCAAGCTTGAAATAATTACACGTTTTTGCTCAAGTACTTAAAGACAGAATAATGAGCAGCATTTTATCCATATTTTTCATCAATCTGAGTAGGACTGAGAATGATTTATGGCTACTTTCCCCCTTGATTTTAATTGCAGATTTTATAAAATACCAAGTTCATGCAATAGCTCTCTGTGCATCTTAGCATGCGTGTACACAGAATACACTTGGTAGACAATACCACTTTTTGTTCTTAAGCACATGTTCACATAAAACAGGGTGTGAACCAGGTCATAACCAAAATGTCCAACCAGTCATCCCTGTGATCACCGTTGCTCTAAAAGTTCTATGCCTATCACGAACAGTATGTGTGAACAGTCTACTCATTCACATTTTCCCATGGTAACAGATGTCCAAGGATGGATTAGACTTTTCACAACAGTTCCAAGTGCTCTTAGATGAAACTTCTTTTCTAGCTCCATTTCATTTAGGGATCTGGCACTGAAACTGCTTTGGTTGCGTGTATGTTAGGAGACAGCCAGGGGAAACACCTCCCTGTTTCCCTGTTTATCCTCCTCAACCTCTTAGCAGCTTTTGATACCATCGACCATGGCACCTTTGTAGAGCAGTTGTCTGAATTGGAAGTGGGTGGCACTACTTTGTAGCGCTTCACGTCCTACTTGGATGCTACCATATTTTTCGCTCTATAGGACACACCAGACGATAAGACGCACCTAGTTTTTGGGGGAGGAAAACAAGAAAAAAATATTCAGAATCCCAGAAGCCAGAACAGCAAGAGGGATCTGGCTTCTGGGATAGCCTCTTGCTGTTCTGGCTTCTGGGATAGCCGCCAAAGCCTCTCCCGGCAGCAGGATGAAGGCTCCCCCTGCCCGGAAGAGGCTGCGGGTGGCTAAGCTGCTCTCTGTCCCTTCCCCGATCTCCCGCAAGAGCTGCACACTCTTTAAAGGGAGCGCGGCTCTTGGGGGCTTTTCTGGGAGGTGGGGGAAGGGACAGAGCCCTGCGCTCTGTCCCTTCCCCCCACTTCCTGCAAGAGCCACGCGAAGCCTCCGTAGGGTAACGGGGAGCCTTCACCCCGCTGCCCTGTGGAGGCTTTGCGCCACTAACCCCGAAGCTATTACAGCGAGACGGAGCGCAGCACAGTGCTCCCTCTCCCTGTCCTGGCTTCTGGCTTAGCCGCGCAGCCTGCATTCGCTCCATAAGATGCACACACATTTTCCCTTACTTTTTAGGAGGGGGAAAGTGCGTTTATAGAGCGAAAAATACGGCAATTTCCAGAGATGCTTGGGGAGTGCTCTTCAGCCCTGTGGAGCCTTGGATGTGGGGTTCCTCAGGATTCAATGCTGTTTAACATCTACATGAAACTGCTGAGTGTGGTCATCTGGAGTTCTGGAGAACATTGTCAGCAATATGCTGATGACACACAGCTCTACTTCACCTTTACACCTGCAGGTGTGGCAGCGAATGTGCTGGACCATTGTCTTGCCTCAGTAATGGACTGGATGAGACTGCAGTGCATGAAGTAATTTTATCATTCTTTTATCATACTTAGATAACCTCTAGGTTAGATTAGATAAATTATACTTATACATGGGTCTGCCTCTAAAGATGGTTTGGAAACTTCAGATGGGACAGAATTCAGTGGCCAGCTTGCTCACCAGGACAAGGCAGTTTGAGCATATTACAGTGGTGCCCCGCAAGACGAACGCCTCACAAGACGGAAAACCCGCTAGACGAAAGGGTTTTCCGTTTTAGAGGCGCTTCGCAAAACGAATTTCCCTATGGGCTTCCTTTGCAAGACGAAAGCCCATAGGGAAATCTCCGGGACAGCGGGGAAGCGCAGCGCGTCTTCCCCACTGTCCTCGGACCTCCTCCGAAGGCTGGCAGCGGGGCGGAGAGACCTTCTCCCGCCACCAGGCTTCGGATGGATGCCCTGAAGCCTGGCGGCGGGGCGGAGGTCTCTCCGCCCCCCGCCAGGCTTCGGAAGGATGCTCCGAAGCCTGGCGGCGGGGAGGAGGTCTCTCCGCCCCCCGCCAGGCTTCGGATGGATGCTCTGAAGCCAGCGGCGGGGAGGAGGTCTCTCCGCCCCCCGCCAGGCTTCGGATGGATGCTCCGCCCCCCGCCAGGCTTCGGAAGGATGCTCCGAAGCCTGGCGGCGGGGAGGAGGTCTCTCCGCCCCCCGCCAGGCTTCGGATGGATGCTCCGAAGCCAGCGGCGGGGAGGAGGTCTCTCCGCCCCGCCGCCAGGCTTCGGAAGGCTGTTCTGAATGTTGGCGGTGGGGAGGAAAAACCCTCCTCCCACTGCAAGCCCGGGAACAGAGGAGAAGCACTGCGCGCCTTCCCCTCTGTTCCCGTACCTGTCTGAAGGCTTGCGGTGGGGAGAAAAGCCCTTCTCCGCACCGCCAGCCTGGCAAGCGGTTTCCATAGAAACGCATTAATTGATTTTCAATGCATTCCTATGGGAAACCGTGCTTCGCAAGACGAAAAACTTGCAAGAAGAAAAAACTTGCGGAACGAATTAATTTCGTCTTGCGAGGCACCACTGTACACCAATCTTGGTCCAACTGCATTGGCTGCCAATTAGTTTCCAGGCCCAATTCAAAGTGCTGGTTTACACCTATAAAGCCTTAAACAGCTCAGGACAGCAATACCTCAGGGACCGCCTCTCCCCATATGAACTGACTTGGACCCTGAGCTCATCATCTGAGGCCCTTCTTTGTGTGCCCCCTTCCATAAAGGCCTGAAGGTATCAACACAAGAACAGGCCATTTCTGTGGTGGCTCCCTGTTTGTAGAATGCTTTCCTCGGGAGGCTCTCCAGGCGCCTTCATTACATATCTTTAGGCACCAGGTGAAAACATTACTCTACAACCAGGCCTTCGGCTGATTAAACATTCTATGGCCTTTTAAATGTGTTTATGCGAAGGGGGCTACTGGTTTGTTTTTGTTTTATTATGTACTATGTATTTTTGTGTTGTGAACCACCCTGTGATCTTTGGATAAAGGGTAGCATACAAATTTAATAAACAATACTTCTACTACTTCTACTATAGAAAAAGGTTATGTGCAGTGGAGTTCTAAGTTTCATGGAAAAGATGAAAAAAAAAAATTCTAACAAAAACTAGTTTTAAACCTGTTCCAAACAATATTATTAATATTTAAAGGGGAATTAGTTAAGTTCATTGAGCTATGTTCAATTTGCTTTAATTCATCATTTCTACTTATGGTAGACATAAGTCTGCTATCTTACAAGTAGTTTCTTGGTGAGTAAATATGGTTAATATAGAGTTAATTTTATAGCACAATTTATTTGACATAGCTGACATAACGTATCTGATAAAATTTCAGACCTTTGGGCAGCACGTACAGTTTTATATGACATCTAATGCCTCAAGGAACATGGATTTCTAACAAAATTAGCTCACAAAAGGCAGCAGAGAAATCTACTGAAATAAACACAAATGAAGCCTACACCTTCTTTAAAGCAATAAAAACCATATTACCTTAGTATTTTGCAGTTCAGCAAGGCTTGTGCATGCATTTGCTAGAAGAAAATCACCACTTAAGACAGCCATTTTATTTCCAAATTGCATGTCCTTCAACGGGCCATCTGATGATGTCAGTTCACCAATGTTTACTATCCCACGATGTACCAGGAAAGCTGTGTGAATCAACTCAGTAATCTCTGCCAGACTTCGTTGGCTTTAAAGCAAAGACAGGAAACAGTTCAATTAGCTGCAAAACAGCTGTATAATCTGGTTGTCTACAAAAGAGAAATGCTGAAAACTATAGCAGATGGGGTACTTATCAATACAAATATAGCATTCAGCACTTTGTGAGCACACCATTTTGAGCCTATCGCGCCTGGCCCACTTGAGGGGCAAACTGCACATGAATTAACTCACACGTTTGAACAACTGTGTTTAACCTGATTGATTTTATTTTGGAGAAAAAGCAGCTGGTGCTGACCCTGATCAGGGCCTTGTGTTTATTTTCTACTGAAAAACTGCTCCTTACCTGGCTGTGTGTTTCACCCCCCCCCCCATGCAGTTTGCTACAAACAAGAATCTTAAGGCCCAGAAAAGCAGCCAAGTAAGTGGCAAATTTCAGCAGCAAACAAGCACAGGACCCAATGCTGCTTTCCTCTCCAAAATAAGAGGACTAATACAGTGGTGCCTCGCAAGATGAAATTAATTCGTTCCGCAAGTTTTTTCTTCTTGCGAGTTTTTCGTCTTGCGAAGCACGGTTTCCCATAGGAATGCATTGAAAATCAATTAATGCGTTCCTAGGGAAACCGCCTTCAGACCAGGTCCGGGGACAGTCTGTCCCCCGACCTCTTCTGAAGGCTGGGGGGGGGGGAACAAGGGCTTCTGAAGGCTGGGGGGGGGGGAACAAGGGCTTCGCTGCCGACCCCCAGCATTTTAAAATCTCACCGGGACACGGGGAGATTTTAAAATGCTGGGGGTCAGCAGCGAACGCTTCGCTGATCCCGGGACGGCAGGCAGATCTGCACCGCCATCCAGAGCGGGGCGGGACTTAGCCCCGCTCGGGATGGCAGTCCCGGGACGGCAGACAGCTCTGCGCCGGCATCCAGAGCGGGGCGGGACTTAGCGCCCCGCTTGGGATGGCGGCACACATCTGCCTGCAGTCCCGGGATGGCAGACAGCTCTGCGCCGGCATCCAGAGCGGGGCGGGACTTAGCGCCCCGCTCGGGATGGCGGCACAGATCTGCCTGCAGTCCCGGGACGGCAGACAGCTCTGCGCTGGCATCCAGAGCGGGGCGGGACTTAGCGCCCCGCTCGGGATGGCGGCACAGATCTGCCTGCAGTCCCGGGACGGCAGACAGCTCTGCGCTGGCATCCAGAGCGGGGCGGGACTTAGCGCCCCGCTCGGGATGGCGGCACAGATCTGCCTGCAGTCCCGGGACGGCAGACAGCTCTGCGCTGGCATCCAGAGCGGGGCGGGACTTAGCGCCCCGCTCGGGATGGTGGCGCAGATCTGCCTGCAGTCCCGGGACTGCAGGCAGCTTTGCGCGGCCATCTGTAGCGGGGCGGGCTTCGCCCCCGGCTCCCGATGGCCGCGCAGAGCTGCGCTGATCCCGGCACGGCAGACAGCTCTGCGCCGCCATCCCGAGCGGGGCGGGACTTCTCTGCTGTCCCGGGGAGATTTTAAAATGCTGGGGGTCGGCAGCGAACGCTTCGCTCCCGCCCGCCAGCATTTTAAGATCGCCCGGGGCAGCGGAGAAGTCTCCGCTGTCCCGGGAAGGCAGGCGGGGGGGAGCAAAGACTTTTGCCCCCCGCCGGCCTTCAGAAGAGGTCCAGGACCTCTTCTGAAGGCCGGCTGTGGGCGAAAGTCTTTGCTCCCGACCGCCAGCAATTTAAAACAGGTCCCCGGAGATTTCCCTATGGGCTTTCGTCTTGCGAAGCAAGCCCATAGGGAAATTCGTCTTGCGAAGCGCCTCCGAAACAGAAAACCCTTTCGTCTTGTGGGTTTTCCGTCTTGCGAGGCATCCGTCTTGCGGGGTACCACTGTAAAACATATTTGTTTAAATACATATACAATGCCATGTATAATAAGGCCCTGACATGAGGAGTCTTACTAGATTTAAGGAAATACTTAACAATATAAAATAGTGTTTAAAAAGAAATCAAAATGTGGATATCCCCATTCTTCAAATGTGTACTAACAACCCTAAACCATGTTGATAATTGCAAGTAAAAACAACCACAACAAAAACACTTTTAAAAAAGGGTCTAAAAATACCCCATTTTTATGCACTTTATCATTCTATTACCATACATAGATACCGTATTTTTCGCTCTATAACACGCACCTGACCATAACACGCACGTAGTTTTTAGAGGAGGAAAGCAAGAAAAAAATATTCTAAACAAAACAGTGGATGTATGATTTTTGTGGTTCATGCTGTGGCCACAAACGTGATCTGACGGTGAGTTTGGGGTAGCCCAATGCAAAAATCCGGAGGATCCATGTGGATCCATGCTTTGTAACCACGTTTTTGCGCCATTGCAGCCCCATGAAACAGTGGGTGCGTGATTTTTTTGGTGCAGGCTGTAGCCATGGACATTTTATGTGATCTGATGGTGAACCTGGGGTGACCCAGTGCAAAAATCCTGAGGATCCATGTGGATCCGTGCTTTGTAACCACGTTTTAAGTAGGGAGGGAAGGAAAAGCATTCAAGGGACAAGGAGCATGCGTGGGGTGTGTAGAGAAGGATGTGGCTAATGATGCAGGCAGGCGGTTAAAGGGGAGAAGGAACACGCGTGGGGTGTGTAGAGAAGGATGTGGCTAATGATGCAGGAGATGGATTTAAGGGGAGAAGGAACACGCGTGGGGTGTGTAGAGAAGGATGAGGCTAATGATGCAGGAGAGGGATTTAAGGGGAGAAGGAACACGCATGGGGTGTGTAGAGAAGGATGTGGCTAATGATGCAGGAGAGGGATTTAAGGGGAGAAGGAACACGCGTGGGGTGTGTAGAGAAGGATGAGGCTAATGATGCAGGAGAGGGATTTAAGGGGAGAAGGAACACGCGTGGGGTGTGTAGAGAAGGATGAGGCTAATGATGCAGGCGAGCGGTTAAAGGGGAGAAGGAACACGCGTGGGGTGGGTGGAGAAGGATGAGGCTAATGATGCAGGAGAGGGATTTAAGGGGAGAAGGAACACGCGTGGGGTGTGTAGAGAAGGATGAGGCTAATGATGCAGGCGAGCGGTTAAAGGGGAGAAGGAACATGCGTGGGGTGGGTGGAGAAGGATGAGGCTAATGATGCAGGAGAGGGATTTAAGGGGAGAAGGAACACACGTGGGGTGTGTAGAGAAGGATGAGGCTAATGATGCAGGAGAGGGATTTAAGGGGAGAAGGAACACACGTGGGGTGGGTGGAGAATGATGTGGCTAATGATGCAGGAGAGGGATTTAAGGGGAGAAGGAACACGCGTGGGGTGTGTAGAGAAGGATGAGGCTAATGATGCAGGAGAGGGATTTAAGGGGAGAAGGAACACACGTGGGGTGGGTGGAGAATGATGTGGCTAATGATGCAGGAGAGGGATTTAAGGGGAGAAGGAACACGCGTGGGGTGTGTAGAGAAGGATGAGGCTAATGATGCAGGAGAGGGATTTAAGGGGAGAAGGAACACACGTGGGGTGTGTAGAGAAGGATGAGGCTAATGATGCAGGAGAGGGATTTAAGGGGAGAAGGAACACGCGTGGGGTGTGTAGAGAAGGATGTGGCTAATGATGCAGGCGAGCGGTTAAAGGGGAGAAGGAACACGCGTGGGGTGTGTAGAGAAGGATGTGGCTAATGATGCAGAAGAGGGATTTAAGGGGAGAAGGAGCTCGAGTGGGGTGTGTGGAAAAGGAGCTTTTCGGCGAGCTGAGAGGGGAGGGGGGAGGGAAAGAGCACTGTTGCTTTAAAGGAGCCAACCAGACAGCAGCCACTTACAGCAGTGTAAGCAGCTCCTTTCCTCTCCCACTTTGCTCCTTCTCTCCCTCTTTGCTGCTTTACGCAGCTAATGGCGAATCCCCTGCAACCCAAGTCCTGCTCAGCGGATCAGCTGGGAGAATCGTAATTTCCCTCTCTCCCTCATCCCGTGCCTTCCTGTCCCCAGCAGCCTTTTTAAAAACTTTTTTACTGGTTTTCACTGCGCTCGTGGCTCAGAGCCCTCCTGTGCCCTGCCGTCCCTCTGCAGCCTCATTGCTCCGTTTAGAGAGCGTTGCTAGCTGAGGCTGCAGCAGCTGTTGCTGGCTACGCGGCGCTTTTCCGGCTCCCTATGGCTCCCGTCTGTCCCTCCTCGCGTGTAAGCGGCTGCTGCCCGCTTTGCTGCCATGGCTCTCCTTCCCTCCCTCCCTCCTCGGCTCCTCCCCCTCCTCCTGGCTGTAAAGCAAGCAAAGCTAGAGCAGTGCAAAGCCCTGCAAGCGGCTCCCGCTTTGCTTGACTGACGGCAGCCATGGATCCAGTCGAGTGCATTCGCTCCTTAACACGCACAGGCATTTCCCCTTACTTTCTAGGAGCAAAAAAGTGCGTGTTTTGGAGCGAAAATTACGGTAAATTATAGCAATGGGTATATGGGACAACAAAGCTTTTTATATGCTAAATTTAACCTTTTTGTTTCAGACAGTGGCAGGAATAAAAGCCATCTATTGAATGTGACAGAAAATTACATTCTGTCATAACCTTATGTCTAAAGAAGGGTTAACACATCCTAGAACGAGGGAAGAGGAGGGAGGGCAACTAACAAGACATCCTGATGCTTCTGCTGTCATTGTCAGGGCAGCCCTTGGAGAAAATGTCCATATCAATTCAGTTTATCAGATGGACAGCTGATCAACATTAAACAGACTTGCTCTGGGCAGATTGAGCTGAGATACCTGCCATGAATACCAATGAGTGTCCTCTGCTCTCGACAACTGAGGTCTGACTGCTGCTGATCCCAGGACATATGGGGATCCCTAGTGACGAGTACATAAAGCTGCAGCTTACTCAAGTGATGGCTCATTTCCCCCGGCTGAAGGCACACATTAATATCCTGAGGAGATCAAGCTCACCTCTCTGACCCCCACCCCCACCCCACCCCCAGTGTCCCTTTCCCCCTTTAATAAGCTTTTAATGAAGGAAACAAAAATCCTCTCTGTACAGCTTGCCACAAAAAGGTTACACAAATACATTAGTGTCATACTTTCTAAGC